GCAAATAGGTGTTTGTCCAAAATGTCCACAAGTGCTGTAAATAGCTCAATTGGTTTTGAAAACGTTGAATAGCTTGTTCTTTCGTTGAAATAGTTGGGAAATATTCCTGGTCAGGCTCGTTTTGATATACTGAGGGTAAAAGATTGACGTCTGCGTTAGGTATAATGAAGTCTATTGGCCGAATAATCACTGAGGCTTCTACCGTGCTACCAGAATATGTAAGTGGTCGTGTGTTGACCATCGCCTCACACTCTGGTACCACTGTAATAAACTCGTTTTCCTGCATCACCTTTTTCCGTGCTATTTTTTTGAGGATTGACTTCACTACCCCTATCATACGCTCATAGAAACCCCCTTTCCATGGGGAGAGTGGAGTGATAAATTTCCATTGGATCCTTTCATTTGAAAGGAAGGTTTGAATTGTATGAGTAGCAACTTCAGTGCGATCACTTAGTCTTGCTATTATTTCGCATCCTAAAGTGAAATTTGTTGCATTATCGGAAATTATGAGCACTGGCTTTCCCCTTCTTGCTATAAATCGACGTAGACCATTGAGAAAGTCTATGGCGCTCAAACTATTGACGATTTCCAAATGCACAGCTCTCGTGACCATGCACGTTAAAAGTAAAATCCATCTCTTTGTTTCTCCGTTTTCGCTGCTCAACACTTGAAAGGGGCCGGCGAGGTCGATGCCAACATGCAAAAACGGCCGCGACGGCTCCGTTCGAGAATGTGGCAGTGGTGGAGAATCAGGGTAGAAAAAGGGTTTCGAATTCCACTTTTTGCAGACCAGACAAGACTTTAACAATTTCTTGACTATTTGCCGACCTTTCGGGAGCCAATAATTCAAGCGAAGATTGGCTAGTGTCCCGTTAACTCCTTGATGTCCACAGCGAGTGTGGATGTCTTTGACGAGCAGGCTGGTGAAGTTGTGGGCTTCTGGAAGGAGAATGGGTTCTTGAGTTTCTCTCGCTAAGTGTTTCGCGTGAATTCTTCCGCGACATCTGATCAGTCCGTTTTCGTCTCTATATAATTGCAAATTACTGAGTTTCGTGAGCTTCTCTTGAGTGAGCGTCTTTTGTGCTGACTTGATCAAAAGTGTTTCAGCCGTCAGGAGATCGGCTGCTGTTAAGGTCGCCAGCGGTGTGTCGGCTGCAATGCGCTCAAGTTCAGGTATGGCTTTCTTCAATACTTCTTTATTTGTGGTTGAGACTTTGTTGAAAATTTTGAATTTGAGAAATTTCATAACTAGTGACAGAACCCTTTTGTATTTTGGTAACGATGAATATTCTCTGGGGAAGAGTAATGGCTGGCACTCTATGTCAGACTTGATTGCAAGAACTGTATGGGACAGTTCTTTTAAGCCGGAGTCCTTGTCCCCTTTGTGTTCTACTGAAGTCCAGGAAAATTCTGGCAGTTCAGGCCATTTCGAATTTTCTTTGAGTATAAAAGCAGGGCCAGTCCACCACGTGTGTGTTTTGAATTGATTCTTTGTTAGACCTTTTGTCGCACAGTCTGCAGGATTCATCTCTGATGGTATCTAGTGTAAGTGACATGTTATCCCACTGTCTGACCAGTTTTGAATTTTGCTTCGAATTTCTTGACATCGATTGATAACAAAGGTTCCGTTCCTAGAGTTTGACTGAACCCAGTTGAGAGTCACTTGTGAGTCGCTAAAGATGTGGACTTCCTTTATTGACAAGTGCATTTCTTGAAGCGCAAAGTTCGTTAACCGGACTCCAATTAGGAGAGCCAAGAGCTCTAATCTCGGTATTGTCACTGTTTTCGCATTCTTATTTATCGGTGCCAAACGCTGCCTGGCTATGAGCAAACTGCTACGGGTAACACCGTTGACACCGATCGTTCGCAAGTAGGTTGCGGCAGCGAACGACCGTGCCGACGCGTCGACGAATGTGAGAAGTTCATACCTATTGTTCATTGCGAAGCATGTGATTGCGCGAGGGACCGACACTTCGAATTCCGCTGCATTGTCACAGATCGTTTGCCATTCTTCTTTGAGATCTGGGGGTAGGACCTCGTCCCACTTGTAGTTATGCTTCCATAAGTCTTGAAGAAAGAGCTTCGCCGGTAAAAGTAGGGGTATGAGCAACCCTAAAGGATCGAAGGTTGAGTGTGCTAGTTGTAACGCTTTACGTTTCGTTAAAGTTGGAGAGGGTTTGAGTTTGCAGTTGATTGAAAATGAGTCTTTTTGATGATCCCACGGGATTCCAAGAATTTTGGATGACTTGGTGGTTGATAGATCTGCAGGATCGATTGCTTTGTTGCAATTGTCGTCGCTGGAGATAAATTGACGAAGATTCATAGTCATATTATTCGAACAGCTTTTTGGCCATTCGATATTTATCAATGAGTGATTGCGTGGAATCATCTGTAAGAAGGACATTGTCCACATAAAGATTATCATTGAGTTGTCTTTGAAAGTCTTTGTCGGGGATTGATTGCTGTTCGATGCCGAGTTTAATTGAAATACCCAGCAGGAATGGAGACGCATTTATTCCAAATGGAAGGCGACAAAAGCGTAGTATTCTGAGGTTGTTTGGTGTTGGTGGCTGATCCACGTTTCTGAGCCATAGGAATCGAACGGCGTCTCTCTCCGTCTCTTGCAGATGGATCATATGGAATGCCTTCTCAACGTCCGCAATCAATATCTTGGACCCTATTCTGGATCTCAGAAGTACTCCGCATAAGTTGGGTAATATGAGAGGTCCTTGATAGATAACATCATTGAGACTTAATTCCCCTTTCATTTTTGAGGATGCGTCAGAACGATGCGTGTCTTCGTTGTGGCACTTTCGGATTTGATAACAGCTTGATGAGGGATATAGTAACACGGTGTTGAATTATCTATTTGAAAACGTGGTGCGTCTTCAATGAAATTCTTCTCGAGCTGTTGCTCGATTATGCCACAGTATTCCTTCCAGCAGTGAGGGTTGCGCTCCTTCATTTTGAATAGTTGATGGAGTCTACTCAGGGCAAGATTGTAGTTGTTCGCCAGGCGGTTCTTATTTGACTTCCAAGGAAAGCGCACAAATATTTTGTTATCTTTGATTTGTACCGTTGAATAGAAGTCGGCCACAATCTTATTATTGATTTCTTCTTCCGAACTCATATCTTCTATTCCAATTGCATTGAGTTTCCACAGCTCGGAAATGTCCATATCGGTTTTACTGGAATCAAGCGCTGTGCAGGTGTGTACAACCCTACAGACATGGTCGTTTTCAGATTGTTCGCACTCCTTATGAGCCACTCCTGACAACACGGGTCCGAATATGGTCGGTGTGAGGAATAGCCCAGAAGGAAGGCGAATTACAGGTTCGTGGAGCTTCATGATTGCGTTGAAGTAGTCCATCCCAATGAGTATTTCAGGCACTACTGTGCCGCAAACTCCATGGAGTAGCCGTTGAGCTTCGTTGCTGGGGAAGTGATCCTGAATGAATATCTCGTCCTGAGGGAGTATCGAACCTACTTGGAGAGGAGGGGTGAGTTGATCGTTTGTTAAAAGTTCAACTTCCATACCATCCCCTTCCGCATTGTACAGACAGGTGACCACCCTTTTTGACTTTCTTTTTTCTGCTTTACCTCCAAATGTATTCACCACAATAGTTGACTCGTTCTGAATTTTAAAGCTCATCCTTCTAACAAGCGATGTTGATATGAAGGATTGGTCTGAGGCCGAGTCCAAAAGTGCTAGGACGACCTCCTTCTCATGACTTTTGCATGATTGTAAGTAGACTGGGACAACCATCAAACGTACGTTGTTGCTGCTTGCAAAAGCGGCTGTGAACTCGTTGTTGAATTGGATCTGCAACTTGACTGTTTTGAATTTGAAAATTCACCGTGACGTTCTCCCCGGATCTCCTTCTAGTCTGTGGGGATTGACTGAATCGAACTTGACGCTCCGGGGTTCTTGAAGGTGAAGGTGAATGTTTGAATGTGCTTTGATTGAATGGCCGTCTTGACAATGGTCTTGGCGACGACCTTGGTGACGATTGATTACGTCGATTTGAAGTGAAATGTCTATTCCTGGAGGTTTGTCTGTTAGGTGAATAGCTTTGGACTTTTGAAGGGTTTTCCGGGAGATTGACTTCGTTTCCTTTCGTAGAGTGCCCTATGATTTATTTGTCTTTGAAAGGGAGAAAGGGTTCTCCTGTGGATAACATTGGAGTGTGCCTCAGGCAGGCGTCTCTGACGTTGACGGCATATGATGTAACTGTGAGGACCGCTGCAATAGAAACAGTTCTGCTTTCTGCAGAATGCTGTACGGTGTTTAAGGCTGAAACACTTCCAACAAGCGTTGAGTTCGCGGAGACGCTCAATCTTCTGTGTAGTGTCCGGGTACTTGTTACAGTGCTGAAACCTGTGCTGCTGTCCGCAGCCAGTGCAATGCAACTTTGACAGAACGGTCGTGTTGGTGTGAAAGATTGAGCGTTCGTTTTGATATGGCTCCCTTATGCCATCAACGTGCTCTCTGCGTCTGATTGCAGTTGACAAGTTATCCAGAAGATCCTTCATGCTCCATAGGCTGCCTGAGTCGAATTCTTTCTTTGCCATCTCCTCTTGAATACTTTTTGAGAACTTTTCTAGGATCATGATCCTCATGTTAGTAGTATTGACTGCCTCCCATTGTTTCTCTAACGTGGCTATAATAGCTTGAATGTCACTTAGGTTATTTCTCAAGGAGCGATGGTCATCTTGGCACTGCTTCATTGATTTAAGTTTTTGAATCATTTGTATTGTGATCCGCCTTGGATCTTGATATTGACTTTTCAATTGACTAATAGCCTTCTCGTAGGACTCCCCTGTTCTTGGCACCATTTGAAGGGACCTTGCTGCATCTCCTTTGCAGCAGTTGATAAGGATTGACAATTTTTCAATGTTTGAGTAGGGTTGTTTGTGTACTAGCTCTTCAAATAATTCCCAAAATGAATCAAAGTCGGAGGGATAAGTAAGTATAAGTTTATTA